TGATAAGCAACAATGCGTATTCACCATAACAACAACAAAAACAAAACCTTTAGTCTCAAACAAGTGGGGTAGGTTAGAGGTGAAACCCATAAGATCTCGCGACCAACTCATGGTTCTGGCACATGGATAGCAAACTTCCACGCGCCATGTTCATGGCTAGTTCTTTGGTGATACACCAGTCCTTCAGATTTCCCTTAACGGACTCCTCCCATGTCTAGTTCGGTCGAACATGTGTATGTTTCATCTCCTTTGATTCCCTGATTTCTTGTCGAAGTTCATGTTGTATTCCTTGTCTTTCTCTTTTCAGCCGGAGTGTTTTCAAGTTCTTTTTTTGTTGCCTTTCGTGTCCTTTTCCAAGTTTTTCAATCTCTCAAGATTCTTTGGTGTCACCCCTTTGTCAAGAAGCAACTTATAGCTAAACCTCTTCCTCTTTCTTTTCCGAATCTCGTGACGAGATTCTTGTAAGTTGAGGAGCTTACTTTTATTTGCTTCAAGGTTTTAATAAGTTCAGCTGATAGTCAACTAGACCACCTGGCCCAAAATCCCGACTACACGACTGAAATCTACTCCCTCCTTTAGATATTTCAATATGAATTACAATACAAACTGAAATGAGTGAACAAACTCACTAAAACATGTGATGCAATTTTTTTGGAACATCTTACGTTTACAAATGGGTGAAGTAACTGATTACAACTTGTATATATACATACATATTGAACTCAGTTCCAACAAAACAATGGTCATTGAACTCAGCCACTGGGCCAAAAGCTACATTGACGACATTATTCGCGTGGGGATCTGCTCGAAGCCGATGGCATCTCATGCGACAGGAGCAAGGTGCAGCAGATGTTCACACCGGATGAAGCTCAAGAAATTCTTCAAATACCGGTCGGGGGGCCGGGGGTGCAGGATTACCAAGCTTGGAACTATAAATGGTATCTTTTCGGTCTGCTCGGCTTACCATCTACGCATGAGCCAGAAGCGGGTGAGATCCGGACGGCCGGAGTCCTCATCCTTGGTGGCGGATCATCGGTCATGGCTGAGCCTTTGGGATACCGTTGCGCCAGGCAAAGTTAAAATTCATATGTGGCGGTTGATTCGAAATGGGCTAGCTGTGGGAGCAGAACTGTTAAGGAGGAAGATCAACCAGGGTGTTTTCTGCAGTGCTTGCGGCAGGGAAGAAACAAACTATCATCGATTCTGGGGCTGCTATCACTCGACCAAATTCTGGAAGATAATGCAGTCGGAGTTGGGAGTACCGGTGGCGATCCCGCAGGAGTCAGTTTGCTCCCAGAGTGCATTGTCGAGATGGTTACTGTCGTGGTTCGCGGAAGCTACGAATGACGGGCGGGCTGTCATGGTACAGGGGGCGTACGCGCTCTGGCTTGCGAGGAATAATGCATGCGACGGGCAGCGGATTGAGGAGGCGGAGGCGATAGCGAAAAGAGTCGTCCAACTGATGGCCGAGTGGCAATCTATACACGGCCGCAGCAGCAAGCAGGACAGGCCGGCGGTGAAGGAAAAATGGAGGCCAACTGAGGTGGGGTGGGTGAAAGTCAACGTCGACGGTGCCACATCGAGGGGAGGGGCGACAGCGGAGGAGCCGGGATGGTATTTAGAAACCATGATGGTGCTTTTTTGGGAGGAGTTTGCAATGTACTCCCACTAGGGAGTGACCCAGCGAGGATGGAGCTCCTCGCTTGCAGAAGGGCCGCCCAGGTCGCTGAGGTGTTGAACATTGCCAACCTACATATCGAAATGGATTGTAAGGAAATCGTATGCAAACTTCAATGCACGGAGAAGGATTTTTCACCGCTGGAACCTATTGTGAAGGAGGTCAAGCAAATGCTGGCCTTGAAGGATCTAACATATAAAGCCTGCTAGGCTACCCGACAACCTGAGGCCTCCGCGCGCGCGAAGCTCATTGGCCGTGCGATCTTTTTACTGTAGCAGTGTTTTGGCTGCTGGCAGCAGCCCCGCCGTTAGTTTTTTCCACTTCCGGCTAGCAGTCCACCCCGATGACCATTGGGCCCGGGTGTATGTGGGGTTGCTTGTTTGAGAAGGTGGGTATCTGAGGTCCCGTCGCTCCAGAAAACGAACACGGTGAAAATCCTAGCCTACAGAGAGCCTCATCTCATCCCCAATCTCCTGCCTCCTCTTCTCCCTCAATCCCTATCCTCTCCTTCTCCCAAATCCGCCGCCTCCTCTTCTCCTCCCCAATCCGCCGCCTCCTCTTTTCCTCCGCAATCCGTGAGCCCTCACCACCAAGAAGCCACGGGTGCGCCGCCGCTGGAAGAAAAAAAGAAGAGGAGGTGGCACGGGGACCAGCAGCGGCGACGACCTGGGAGCCACCCTGGAGCAGGTGGAGATGCGGGGCGGCGATGAAGGCGTGTGAGAAGATGGCCTGAGCGTCCTCGTCAAGGGCAGTTTTGGCTACCTCCTCCCGCCTCGGCTTGTTTTTCTCTCCTCCACCTTTGCTACTTCCTCGCTGCTCTCCAATGAGTGTCTCTGTCTCCTCTTATCATTGCCATTTTCTGATTGTATTGAAATTAATTCAAAAGAAAATCAGTTTGTTTGCTGCCAGTTAGTTTGATCTATTCATGTTTTCTTGTTCCCCATAGGATTGGGTTTGTCCGCTTGGTGGAGCAGGCGGGGAGCAAGTAGGCAAATATGGAGAAGGAGAATGACCCTGACGAGATGGCTGCCATAGGGTCGTGACCTTCTTTAGCATGCACATCGGCACCGTCCCCGCGTCCGCAGCAGGGGGACGACAATGGCTGCAAGTGACGGCACAGGAGCCCATCTTAGTCGAGCACCCTCCCAGGTTCGTGTTTCTCCCTATAGTTCTCTTAATTTTCTTGCACACATTTTTTTAGGTTTGCATATATTCTTACATATGTGCATTTTTTAGTTTTGCCTCACTGCACAAGCCTTGACTGGGCCATGTCCTTTATGAACCTCCATAGGGAACCCCCACAGTTATTTTGTTCTTTTGATTTAATTGAGTTCAGTAGATTAGCAAAGGGTCTTTTGATTTTGTTGAGTTTAGTATATTAGTAAAGGATCTTTTGATTTCGTTGGCCATATAGGATTTTACTACTGTTATGGCAAAAGAAGGCTAAAGCTGGGAAAGACAACAATGTCAGGAGCCGGCCGAGGTAAAGAGACCTAAGTTGACAAGCAGGGTTGTGCAGTTATTTTTCTCTGCTATTCATTGAGCATATCAGGAGATTGATAGACAGTGTGAGAACTGGTACATAAAATAATTTCTTCTGAATCACATAGTGGTTCCTAACATTTAGCATTTCTAAAATTTGCCATTTTTAGCTAGATCCAAAATGCAGAGAGGCAAGGTTTATTTTCCTGGAGGTCCTATATTGCAGCTGGTGCTATTTTGTTATGTCAAATTGTGTATTTTTCCAGCTTCCCTTCCTCATGTATGAGGTGAGTACTAATTTCACTTCCTTTCCCCGCCTATGATTAATCCTCTTTGTAACCCCAATAGGGTTCTTATTTATTGTCTATATGTATTTACAATATTTGATTACGACCCCAATGAGGATAAAGCGATTTTAATATTTTTTGTGGGTGTGTGTAGCTTGTCTATGGTGGGATGGGGATTCGGAGGATAAATGTTATGGCAGTAAGGAGGTCAAGCGCGAGACGTCACATGTCAAGGGGATTTACTATTTAGTCTCTTCTAATCAGGTGAAGAGATACTGCTGGTTTAAACGGAATCCATACTTTAACATGATTTCTCCCAATTCAACAAAGTCAGGTACTACTCATGTTATTTCATGGTATGGCTTATGTGACTACGAAGTATAATACTTTCTGTTATTTCTTTGATCCCCCAATACAGGTACTACTCATGTTCTTTCATGGTATGGCTTATGTGACTATGAAGTATAATACTTTCTGTTATTTCTTTTATCCCCCAATACTGTTAGCTTTCTAGATAAATTCAAAATTCACTGACCTGGAGATCTCTCACTTAATTTGCAGCTATGGAGCTACTCGAGGCAGCAGAACATTATCCCACACGGAGATGGGGATGGCCATGCCCGTGCTGATGCCGTCGGCCGTCGGTGAGAGCATCACCGTCAACAACGGCTCCAGCGACCTCTCCAGGAGCTTCTCCATGAGCTCCTCGGGTGACACCAACTCCAACATCATGTTCTTCACGCCCAGAAGCAAAAAAGCGAAGGTGCTCATCGACAGCGACGATGGCATGGTCACCAGCCTCAGCAAAATCGAATCCCAAGTAGGACAAGCTTCACATGTATCGAATCCCAAGTAGGACAAGCTTCACATGTATACACTTCACATCCATCCGCACTCTGCTCCCCGTCAATTGTTTAATGCTACAGTTCTAACCTTGGACCAAATTCAGTTTGGCATGTCAACCACGTCTTTAGACATGTCCGACATGGACGACTATCTGCAGCTGCAGCAATACTTCATCGCCTACACAGTCTGCACCAAGCGTGGCTGCGCCACTCACCCACGAAGCATCGCTGAGAGGATTAGTTAATTTCCTACAACATTTTTGGTGTTTGTCTTGGTGCGACATGTTTGTACTGAATATTTTTCTTTCTTATGCTGTTTAGGAAAGAAGAGCAAGGAATAGCAAGAGGCTAAGGAGGCTGCAAGACCTCGTGCCCAATATGGACAAGGTAACTAAATCAGTTGAATTGATGCACACTGTCAATTCTGTCACCATAAAGTTGGGTGCCATCTGGCATCTGCAGAGTATCAAAGCTTCTTCTAGATCAAAGAAAGCTAATCCAGAATCAACCATAGTCAGTGCAAGAAGGTTATACAGGGCAGATGATATTTCATCAGAGAGGTTTGTCACTTTGCCTTATTTGTCCAGGGCCTACTATTCACTTCATTATTGTTGATCCACATCATTACTGTCATACTATTATGATTCCCAATAACCTTTTGGTTTGTGCATTTGGTATTTAATATTTCTTTGTTGTTTGATCCAGGTATACTACAGTGAAAATATAATAAGTGTGCCAGTTTGTGATGGTTGAGGGGAAATGTGAGGTTATAGCAAAGAATGACATTCCAAATTCAAATCTTCCGGTAGTGGTTGAGCATGCCTTTTACTGTGAACATTTATATGATCCTGATGCTGGAGCTCTTAAGCAGGTTAGTTATTGCCAACATTCATCTTTTGATTTCTCCAGTTTTACATTTATTTTGTGAGAAACTGCTTCAGGTAGTTGACTGAGCATGTCTTTTCTTTTAACCAGCTACCGACAAATGTTAAGCTCATGACCTTGACAAGGAAGGCGCATGCTGCAAAAAAGAATGAAGGCAAGTAGATTTGTGACGATGAGCAAGCTGGTTCAGACAAACAGAACGCAACACCAGAGAACTGTCTTGCAACCCTTGATATTTTTGCTGGCTGTGGAGGTTTGTCTGAAGGGTAGTAGCTATCTGGTAATTATATTTCCATCTGCATGTTTATTATTAGATGCTTGCTGGTAGATAGAACAAACTTGACCTCCACATACTTTCTGATCATTTGACAGTACTGGCGCACCATGTACAAATTGGGCAATTGGATATGAAGAACCTGCCAGGCAAGCATTTGGTGAAAATCATCCAGAGGCAGTGGCATTAGTGGAGAACTGCAATGTGATTCTAAAGTATGCAACCCCCCTTTTTCTCCTTTGGACGTACTAAACCTATTGTTACTGTATCTCCCAACTCATTTGTGACTCGGGTTTGTTTCTTGAAGTATTCTCAAATCTGCATCTCCTCTCTTCAGGTTGTGGTCAGGGAGGCAAAGCGAAGGGCAACCTCCGGAGTGTCGCGGAAGAGTGGTGTGAGTAGAGGGTGTCGCAGAAGAGTGTCACGCAAATAAGTGGGTGGGGGAAGGAAGCAGAGCAGGCAATGCCCCTATTTATATTTGGCGTTGGCATGTCCAGATCGATGGGCCAAAGCTCATTGTGAGCTCCTCCTCCTTCACTCGATTTCTTCTTCCATGCATGCACAGCTTTGTCTATATTTCTGTGGTATAATATGTTCTGAAACAGTGTGCTATTATTGAACTATGTTACTCTGTTTCTTTTCTGAAGTAGGAAGTGATGAATCGAACAAGGAGGAAGGGTAACACGATGACGTGTTTGGTCTTCAGCCATTTCTTTACTAAGAAACCCAGGTTAGGATTGTCTAAATGTCCAGAAGCTCAATCTTACTACTAAATGTAGTTATTCGCTTCATTAGTGGAATGGCTATCTTCTATCCTCAGATCTATGATACAAGACTAAGTTTTTCTATGATTTGTATTAGTGTGATCCATACATTAAATGGTGAAGGATTACTACTACTATATCAGTTTAGGTCTAATCTAGAGTTTAGACTTCCATTTTTTGCGGGGATCTACAGTTTAGGCTTGACTAATCTTTATAGCAGTTTGTTCATGTGAAAATTATGACTGATACAAACTAGATGTTATTATATAATATCGGGACAAGATACTAACCTACCATTATGCAAAAAAGAAAAACATAATACTGATCTGCCGCTAACAAACGATGTCACAACTTAGACAATCTCTGAGGTCGAATTTCTGTTTTCCAACAATGGGTTTTTTATTTCTATCCTACTACTTATAGCTGGATTAATGCATTTATCTCTCTCTATCTCCGTTTCTGTTGTTACTTACTGCCCTTTTAAGTTTTCTATTCCCAGTTGGTTTCATTTTTTATTTGCTAACATCCACAAAAATGAATATCCACTTTATTTTTTTATTCCCGGAGTGCCGAAGGTGGAGCGGCGACCGAGAGCTGGCCATTTGTTAACAGTCGCAGACACGCGTGTACCCTGCTCACTGGCCGTTGCAAACTGAACGGCTATATGCATTAAATGGCCATACACAAAGCTAGCTTGCACAGTAATCGGAGGAGTTGAACTAGGTTGAGCTGCTGCTTCATATGGCCTGGAACGCCAGGCCGTCTTCTGTGTTGTCGTCGCGGGCACCACGGGACCGTCTTGGCCTTCTTCCGTGTCACCATCGAGAGCTAGCAGGAAATGTGTGTCGAGAGGCACATGAATACACCCGTGGATTGTTTTTCAGCGTGCTCAGTTTTAAAAAACGAGTTATGCAGTTCTTTTTTAATACAGAGAAAAAATGATAATTTTGCAAGTACTACAGTATTAAGATCACTGTTTTTAATACTGTAATTTAAACCACAGTTTTTAGTGGTAGCCAAACAGCTCACTGAAATTAAAACTGTGTTAATCTCAAAAACTGTGTTATTCTCAAAATACATAGAAAGTACTTTGCTATCAAACAGGGCTACAAGTGCAGATTTCCTTGAAGATAGTATATTTTATAATTGTATTGCCAACGTACTTCCATAGTTTTATCACCACAAAATAATTCTAGCTGCTTCCATAGTAAGGTAACAATAATCTGTGTTATAGCAGAATATAGATGTAGTGTGCTTGTCTCAATATAATTTAGAGTTTAGAAATGAACTAAAATCTGTGAGCAGGAAGTAATAGGCTTATTTTCCAGTTAGAAAAATATATGTACTGTAGCATCATGTATTCAGGTAATCCCTTGTATTTTTTCACCAGGTTCATGTTTTATATATTGTCCATACACCCACGTAAACTAAAGTTTGTAGTGTCAGCACTAAACAGGGGCACAACTTAGTATGGGTAGAAAAATAAGAGCTTGTGAAAAGAATAGTATCTCTATTACAGGATAAGAATGACTCTTTGGTTTTATGCTGATGTGTGAAAGCACCCCATTATCATGCAAATAGTACCAGGTTTAGAGCCTTGATTATGGCGGCTATAAACCCAAAACAATCCATCTTATTATTTAGTATACAAAGCGCGTTCTGGTGGGAATGACTCCAATTAGAATTCTAGCTGTCGGCATATATCTGATTGGTCCTGGATTGAAAATCTCAATTGTCAGGACTTGCTTGTATGCATTCCTAAATAGTGTAAAACTGAAGCTTGCTGCTCGTGAGGTGTCAGCCATAAACATGTATTATGGCTATTGTTTATACGGTGAAGTGCCTAAAAAATAGAGTTACAGTAGGGTTTTTACCCTACTATGTTTGCTAAAAAAAGTGCCTAAAATTCAGTGACCATAGCTTTCCACTTTAGCTCATAAACTGGATGGCAAAATAGAGTTTGCCCATTTCATATCCATGTTGTCTTATTAGGAAAATAGAGTTTGTTTTATAACTGATGCTTAATATGTTTCATCGACTGGTATGCTCTAACTTTAGCTCATAAACTGGATGGCAAATGCTAATTCTGATGGAGCTTTTGCCACTTATTGTTTTATGGTTGTCTAGACAGCTGATGGCATGCTTCTTTTTGTGAATTGTCAATTCTTTTGTACAGGGTCCTTCGGCTACTTATGTTTTGCCAGACAATGAGAGTATGTAGATAGCATGTATGGTTTTTACATTGCTTTGCGCAGGTTGAGATGCATTACATGATGTTTTCCTTTTACATTTATGAATATTATAGAGTCCTTTCTTTTTCCACAAGGGGCAGTAGTTGTGCCATTTGATTCGAAGGACAAAGAGTTGATCACAAATGGGTAGCATTCAGGATATATACACAAAAGAGTATAGAACCAAATTATATGATGTAGTTGACTATTATTTCTATTAACTTCTCCTGTACACAATGTTCACGAGTTCATGTATTAAGTACATTTTATTGTGTCACTTGTGTTTACTCTTTTTTTAATGCAAGTTTACAGCTACTCGGAATTCCTAATTGTAGACTCAACTATCTTGACCTACCGATGATCTAATTTGTGGCATTATTACCTTAATAAAATATTTGCATTTAATTTTCTTTTTATATAGGGGTATAAGTTCTTACCAAATGTACTCAAATATACTGTTACTGAAAAATGCAAATATTTTCAACACGAACATGGTTTTAAATAGGTCTTTGCGCCATTTGGCGCAACTGGTCATCTAGTAGTTGGAAAGTATCATGGGTTAGGCGTGACGCTAATAAAGTTGCTCACTTATTAGCTACGGAAACAGTGTTAAATGAATTATGTAAGGTGTGGCGGCATGTGCCTTCAGATTTCATTTTGCAGACTGTTTCAGACAAGATCCCTTCGTGAATGGTTAAATAAAAGTGTGGGTTGAGTTTAAAAAAAAAAGCTTAGCGGGCCGTGGACGCGAGGGATAATCACCAATGTATTTCTGCTGCTGGGTTCAACTTTGCAGAATCGGCCACAGGCCAATGTGGTTTTCGCGGGCACGCCGACCATTATCATCCTAGACGCGGATCCGGCTTGCCTGCAGCACGGAGTTTTTTTCTCAACAAAAAAAAATGCAGCACGGAGTTGATGTTTATCCATTACTCGGCGAAACGCGCACGCTCTCTGCAGTACGGAGCCTCGAGCGTCCAGGTGCGCGCCGCAGCGGACACGAGTCCGATCTAGACGCCCGCGCAGATATATCCGAGCCATGTGTCACGCGGACACCACCCGCGTCACACCACGTCCCCATGCCACGCGCCGATACCGCGCCGCTGGCGCTCGCCGCAGCTCAGCTATTTAAACGCCGGCCCGCTGCCGCCGGACCACACCGGAGCCGAGCAGGAAGAGCACGTCGAGTCAGCCAGCAGCGAGCATATATACATACGCGTGTGAAGTGCAGTGAAGGCAGGCAGGATGTCGGGGGCACAGGGAGCGCACCCGGTCGGGGAGACGACGCCGACGACGTACGGGTCGGTGGGCGGCGGGGAGAACCGCACGCGCACGGACCTGCGGTCGCGGGAGGACCAGGGCAACATCCAGATCGATAAGGTGCAGGACAAGGTGGAGGACGCCGCGTCGCGCAAGGTCGACGACAGCGCCTTCGCCGCCAGGAAGGAACCGGGCCAGGCCGGCGACGCCGGGGCGACCGGCACCGGCGCGTGATCTGGGTTCTCTGTGGCACCCTGCCGCGCGCGGGTGCGTTGTGTTGTGTAGCGAGTTGTGTTCTGTAAAAGAGTCTCTGCGTGCGAGCTCACAATAATAAGAACTGCTTCTCAGTTTGCTTAGCAAGACCATTAATTTTCTGTTCGTGCAAACACTCTGCTATCTTTTTAGATTAGATAGGCTGCAAATGTTCAGATCAACCCGGGCGAGACCGATAGATTCCTGTGGAAATGGGATAGATTCCTGTGGAAATGGAATGCAGCCGGGACGCACTATGCTAGCTAGTAAGGGCCGCTACGGAAGTGCTAGGCACCAATGAATTCTAGAAATGTAGAGGAGGTGCGGTTTTGTCTACAGAGGAGTAGGTCTCGAAGAACGTGAGCGGCGATCCCATTGAGATGCCGAGAGTGGCCGGACTTGCCCATCGCTCCGAGGAGGCGAGGAGCGGGGACAATGCTAAGCGGAGAGGAGCGAGGCGGCAGGTTGGGAAGTGAATGTGGCGATGTTTCAAGAGTGGTACATGCGGCAGTATATAGTACATGGCACCTAGTCCACACGGAGTAAGAGCATCTCCAGCCACGTCGATTATGCGTTTCCAGGAGACCAATTATGCGTTTCCAGGAGACCAATTATGCGTCAATTGGGCCCGAAATTAGCGCCGTCGGCCAAACTGGAGCTTGGAGGAATTGTTGCTCGAGGGAATTGTTTTTGGTGTGAAAAAACGGCGGGTCCGCCGAGTCAACGACCCTGCACATTGTTGTCCTCATTGCTCAGTTTTCTGCGGGAAATCAATGCCAAAGTTGCCGGCGGTTAGTCTTTTATTGATTTCTCACGGAAGGTGCAATACGGCGACACGCATTCTCCCGTCACGCGTACACACGTTTACCGTTCCGGGCTGTTATAAAAGCCGCCTTCTCCTTCATCGATGGACACACTTGCCCCGCAGCCTCTCTTTCTTGCCGCCGACGCTCTCTCTTCCCCTCTTTCCCCGTTTAGCCACCGCGTGCATGCCCCGCAGATGGGAGCGGTTCCTCGACGATGGAGCGGCAGCCAAAGGCTTTGGCCGCCACACCTACACGAATGAAAAGCCAATCTTCTCCATGAAGCGAACTACCTGGTGCCGCATGACATGCGCGTGCCGGGGCGGTGGAGGCTCAGTGTCGAGGGCGTCCCAATCCCCCCGCAACCCGACATCGATCACCCCGCCTACTTCCACGTCGAGATCGAGCGTGTTCGGACTCTCTGACGGAGAAGGAGCGGGACCTTTCGGAGTACGCCGTCGACGACCATGCGATTTGAGCGGCGTACTTTCAACGCCGACAGGAGGAGCGGCTTGCCTCCACCAACAACGTGTCAGTGGTAAGGGGGCGCAACAACAACGACG